TTTTTTGGGAATGGAGTCCCATGACTCTCAAATGTCTAATGAGAGATCTGCAACCATCAGGCTTCACTGTGTTCAGGATTAAATAAATGACTTTTTCATGTTGTTTATACTTGGTCTAGACTCAGAACTGATCACAACGTTTCTCCCTAATCCCAGGAGAGAGAGATACTTTTGGTTTTTTCTTCCTCATTTTAACTATCTGAGAGCCTCTGAGTACTGAGTGGTATGGATCACATTGGTAAATATTGTTGATGTGTTTACGTGCTGCATGAGGTGATATTCTTCTTAAACTAGACATCACTTTTAAAGTTTTTAAAAATTTTTACAGAGAAGTATCCTGTGTTTTAATTGTGATTATATTTTTAAATTTAAAAACACTGCTTCGCATTATTTCTATGCTACTTAATTGATAGAGCAACTGTTGTAATGCCATGTAATGCATTATCTATAGGGTACCTGTATAAAACATATCCCCACGTGCCAGAGAAGTTGAGTATTCCAGTCCAGAAGGGGTTTTATGCTGGTGTGATACTCAGGGATTTGACTATCTTTTTGTGATATTCTCTCTTCACTTTCAGACAGAAATCTGAAAGTTCCTTTTTCGTTATCTCAGACAATGTTTGAAATGGCATCTTGCTTATGCTGGGCTTAATTTACATTTCTGGAATTACTGGGGACTTGTACATTAACAGGGCTGAGGCATCAGTTGGTTAATTTGTAACTTCTGCTATTTGCAAAGTAAATTATGTCCTTTTCTCCTTCCTCTGCCCTGCAGAACTGGCCTGTGGTCTGGCTTTCTAGCTCCAACAGTGGTTCAAAGGGCAAGGTATTTTTGGTGATTGACTGACCCTGATAACAGTGTAGGGGAGAGAGAGGGGATGCCTGTATTGTTCAGATGTTGTTGTCTGAATTCTCTGTAGTTCTGAGAGCGAAAGGGGTTTTGCGGTTTGGCAACTGCAATGAAAAGGTGTATTTGACATAATGCTGTGGGGTTTGTGCAAGATTCCCGATGGTAAGCAGAGTGCATCAGTCTGTTTTGTTGGAGTGTCTTTGCCTGTGGCTGATGTTCCACGCTTTTGCAAGTACAATTGTGAGTCTGCACTAGAAATGGGTTTTATTCTGCTGATGAGATAACATTGTATTTTCTTTTTCCCAACAGTAGCTGCTAACTAAATATATTATGAAGAGTCAAATGTCAGTAGGAAACACACACATCCTTGCTTACTGTAGGAGATAGTGTTCCAGAAGTATTTTCAAAATCATATAAATACTAATATCTACAGTAACTGATGTTTTAACAGCCAATCTAATGGTGTTCTTAAACATACTGACAGATTTTGCTGAGCTGTTTTTGGGGTTTTTTCCTCCTCCTTAACAGGATGTCTTTCTTGTGCCCAATTATGGGCAGGGGCATCTAAAGTATTCTAGTGAAGAGTTCTTTCCTTTTCGCAGTACAAAGTATAGTGCTGTGAAGCCTGCTGTGCTGTGATATGGAATCAAAGTGGGAAGAACTTTATGAAATCCATGTGTGTCTTGGTCCTGATAGGAGATTACACTTGGCTTGAGGAGAGAAACTTCATCCCAAACAAGAGTCTCAATCGTATCAAAAAACAGGTTTGGATTTTATTGCCTAGCTTCATGCTTTGCCATTTCTGTCATATTGAAAATCTAATGCTGCCATCCATAGAATGGGGGTGCAGTTCATACCCACTGCTCAGTTTAATAGGGTTCTTTGAGGTATGGCTCTCTTCTGAAGAAGTTAAGGGCTTTGAGAACATCAAAGGCAGAACACCATTCAGCTGACTGAAATGTCAAACTGGTGGTGGCAACATCTGCTTGTCCAGACCTGCTGATTCATCATGCGTTTTAGGTAAGAACCAGTGGTCTCTCTCACCTGCAGAACTTACTGTGTTTGTCCATACTTAACTGAAGACTCCTTAAAACTCAAGAGTCTATGCAGAAGTTAAACCCTGATAATGTAGCATTCTAATGCTTATTTCAGCCCCAAAGTTGTTCTCTGTGAATAGAACAAAATCAAATGAGGAAAAGTCTGCAGAAGGCAACTAGAAAAGCCAGTACGCTAGAACCTGGTACTGCATTTTCTGTATCATAGCTCTGGTAATATTGTCTGTATCTTTGTGGTCGCACTTGATCTTGATATGGACAAAACAAGTCCTAATCAGTTGGTCTGTAAGCGCTAAAAATTATTGGAGCAGATTCTGCTATTTTTGAGTCTGCTCAAGAGAAGACCATGACCACTGAATTGCTATATTCTTCATTTATTTCGCTGAAATGTTGCAGATGGAAACCTCATCCCTTCAGCTATTTACTAGCAGTCAAGATTGTTGAAATCCTTGACCTGCCTTTCCAAAGCAATAAAGCAAGACACTGGAACTTCTAATTGAAAACCATGTTCCTTGGAGTCACAGGGTATGCAGGTTGCTTGCTACTGAGTGTTGCTTACATGTTACCAATATGCTCTTATGGTATGTGAGAGACTGACCGCTTATTTCAGAGGACCAAAGACAGCTGATGAAAGAATTAGCTATAAAAAAAAGATTCCACTTCACACCGCTTGCGTAATTCCATTCTTTTGGCAGATTAATGACCACTAACTCCACAATGTGGAGCCTTCTGACGTGGAATATTGGATCTGATGGGCTGGGTTAAATAGAAAATGTGCCGCAAGTTCAATGATTTTTTAGTTCATAGAGAAACTGAGGGGGGAAACCTCAAAAACTGACAAAGGGAATGCAAGTTTGGTCAGGCTGGCTCAATTCTCAGCTAAATGAGGATGTATAAACCAATTTTCTTCACTACTGTGTTCAACAACCTCTGCACAGAATTAGAGCAATCCAATTACCATATTTTCTGCCCCAAAAAGCATGAGATATATTGAAAAAAAAGAAAAAGAATGAAAGAGAAGAGGAAGAACCCACAGTTATACCTTCTGGAGCTGTGCTGTTGCCCTCAGTTCTGACTGTAAGCAGTGTTTTGCTTTTGGGATCCATAGGACCGTCTTCTGCATACTATATCCTTACTCTTCTGTTTCCAGACTTGTTTATTTCGGAGGATCAGCTAATAGTACGTGATGGCATCTGATGGAATAGAGTTGAGATAGTTTGCTAAAAGCAGTTTACTGCCATCTGTACTGGTTACCACCTAAACCATTGCCTAGTCTCCTCCTCCCCATCTTCATCATTTTCTTAACTCAGAGAATAAATCAGCTCCCTCATGTACCACATACCATAGTTAGAATTAATATTTCTTATTTACAGTGCACTAAATTCCAAGAAGATAATTCCTAGAGTTAGATGAATGATCCAACTAATCCAGGAGGCTAATCCAGGAAGACAGATACGTTGTTCTTCATGTAAGAATTTGTGAGAACATAGTGTTAGAACAGCAGGATATATCTGTGGGTTTACACAGGCAGCCGGTACTTTTAAAGCACCTTTTTCTCCCTTTAATCCATCAGTTTTATCTAGGATGTTAACTGAAAAAAAAAGAAAGTGTATTTTTGAATAGTAACCTGGCTCTACCAATAGCCATTTTCAACAGAAGGTATTGAGTTACTATCTTAATGTGTAAGGCATTACTATGTTGATGTAAATGGGAGAGCTAAAAGTGATTAATGAACTTTGCTTTCCCCACCTGAGGTTCCAAGCCTCGGTCCTTCTCTCATCTGTAATTTATTCACTGTCTGCAACCCATTAGTGTCATATCCTCGTATATAAATACAGCTGTACACTGTGAGGGAGTTCTAACTATGGTAAAGAAGTAAATGTAATGAATAAAGGCTAATGTTGTTGGTGTGATTTTTCTCTTAAATGGGCACCTTGTTAAACAGCTTTTCTTTTGTTGGTTTCTCCACTGTTGCATAACAACTGACATATTAGTTGGAATGAGGCCATACTAGAAAGCAGGATGAGATGCTTGCAGTGTTCATATCTGCAACCATGTAAGGTCTTTTTAGATGTCAGCAAGTGGCTGACCTTCTTACTGTTTTGATTGTTGCCGTCCTACCTGATTTGAATGAATGAGAGGAAGCAGTGCACCTGTTTAATAATCATCTGGTCCTTCGGGTTGAAAGTTTATCTCATCAAGGAAGTTGTTGCTTCCTGATTGTGTTCATCTGGCCCACAGGAAGGGAGTGCGGAGCTTTTAAATTCTTTCTGGTGTTCTTTGAGGTAATAAATAAAATTTCTTCAGGCCTGGAGATGTGAAGAGATACTATCCTTACACTTCTGTCATATGTGTTTTCCTCTCATCCTCTCTAGATGACAGGATCTAGTAATTTCTTCCACATTTTAATCTGAGACAGTATTTAATGTGCATCTTATTGATAATGGTTATCAATAGTGGGTTCATAACAAGTAGGTGTCTAAAATACACTCTAAAATAACTTTTCATCAGCCTTATCCATGAGCTATGACAATCTGTGCAAATTAAAACACTACAGAAACATAGATGAAGACAGTATTATGTATTTGTAATAAAATTAATTCTAAAATGTGTAATTAAGACACCGTATCCTTCTGTTTACATTTTTCTATGCATATAAAGTAGCCAAAAGTATTCTTCAGCAGAGGGCTTCTGATAAAGTAAAGTCCTAGGCTGGTGATATTTAAGGAACTGAGGGAGGGCAAATTCAAAGGTGGGTTTTGTATTCCTGATCATTTTAGTTACTTAAGAGTTGCGTACATCCAACATTCAACTAGACAAGATAGTCGATGTCTACCAGGTGTTTGAATGAAGTCTAGCAAATTGTGGATCTCTTTTTAATGCTCATTTACAAAGAAAAACTTACGGTGTCATTTGAAAAGATTCCTGAAGTGGCTGAAACTCAGAATAATAGTTACAGTCAAGATGCATATTCTCTGTATTTTATGATATAGACAAGTACAAATGTTTGCTGGTTATTTCAACAGCATTCTTCATGAGCTTCATCTGCTGTTGTCATCTTCTCCCCTACTGAACAGATGACTTAATCCAAGTGATAATCTTAAATAATAATCTTTACTGTAGAGGGTTAGCAAAATAAACTATCCAAAAGAAACAGACCTTTCTGCATTTTTTTGTAGTCCCTTAGTGACTGCAAAACCATGACTGGTGTCAGTAGGCACTACTAGACTCCCCCTAGGACCCAACTTTCACGTACCTAGGCAATTAGGGGTATGTTTCAGGGTACATATTCCTTTCTCTCTGCACCAGGGATACCTTTTGTCCATCCTTTGACAGTACTATTTCCTTCTAAGAGTTTCAATTTCATTATACAGCCCTGAACTTGGTGCATTTAGGGCAGAATCATTCATTGCTTTCTTGCATTTTGTTCTGGTTTACTTGTTTTGGTCAGAGCTGTAGATTGAACAAGGACTGTGAGATTGACAAAGCAATGATTTTTACTCTTCTGGATATGCTGCAATACGAGGTCTAATTAGTTTAGGTAGAACGCCCAGGCACTTGTCTGTCTTGTCCTTCTTATTTTCAACCTACTCACACGAGGTATCATGTTTAGTTTTGTAGTATCTTTAACAAACAAGACAGTAGATTTTTGAAGCTTGGGGTTCTTTGATCTTTCTAAGGGGAAATACTACTAACTTGCTTGATTGTTCCATGCCTGGCTTATGATTAACTAAAATATCTTTGAACCGCTTTTAAGCTGTTGTGTACTACATCAGAGACAAGGAACAAAAAATCCAGCAGAAACTATTGTGAAGACCTGAAAATACTAATTTTAAATGGTACTAATATTAAAAAAATGTATCTGGTAGTTACTTGTATTTCTGTTACCAACTAGAATAGGGATTTATATGCAGTTCAGAGCTAAGATGCTTTTGCATGTAGGGGTTAAAAAAACCACTGAAATTGAAACCAATACACAAAAACATTACTTCGAATGGAATCTGAATCTGTACACAGGTAAAATCAGTACACAAGAAAAGGTTACAATGGATATTGGAATACAGCTTCTAGCATTTGCTGCTGTGACAGCTGCAAAATATTGCTGTGAAATGATCAGTGCAGCTATGGACTGAAATTCTCTGCACTTCATTTACTGGTTTTGTTACTCCAGAGTGCTAGGATAAATTTTAGATACAGATATTATTCCCCATCAAGTGGTTTGCTCTGCCCGTATCACCACTCCATTATGTTATCATGCTTTAAATTGGACCTCTTCCTGTTTCTTTGCCCTTTCAGCAATTCTAAAGATTTATTCTTCCCCTCCAGCTGTGCAGTATTGGCTACTTCTGCACGGCCATTCTGTTATCTACATGCACTGAAAATGCTTGTTGTTGATCTGTCTTCCCTTTGTTCCCTGTGCTTCTAGCAATATTGTAGCTGCATTTATTGGGGCACTCTGAAACCTGTCTGTGAAAGGAATTTGCAGAAGTTACCACTGCTCGGAAGATCTGGAAACCAGAACTGGAGACTTTTTTACTCCTTCTGTAAACATCCAGACCTGTGAGGGCCTTCCCACTGAACTGTAATCAGTATTGATGGAGCCTAAAGGCAGGGCTAATACATGGAAAAGGAAATTTAACTTAATGAGAGCTATCTCTGAGTTCATACAATGAGTAATATGAGATTCGGGCTGTGATTGTCTTACATCTTACACAGTTTCCTCATCTGGGGCACACAGGGTCAGGGAACTGGTTAGAGCTCATACAGGAAAAGAGGGCTGCTCTGTGAACAGCATGAACCTTCTTCATATTTCAGGGATTACCACGTACGATCATGATGAGAGATGCATCCAGTATTCCTTGGTTTCGTAACAAATTTCCACGTTTGGAACTTCATTCCTAAAAATTAAGGAAGAAACTTGAGGCAATTTCTCTTTTTTTCAGCTGTATACTCCCAGATTTTTATTAGGTCTCCCTTGCTGACCAGCTGTATTCTACCAGAAACAGTTTGAGAGGGTGTTTGTTTTTTTTTTTTTTTTTTTTTTAAGTAAGGCAGTTCCCAACCACAGCACTTAGACACAGTAGCATACATTGCAAGTGCAAGCCATCATTATTTTTACATCACCGTTACATATAACACAAGGGGGAAATGCCAGTAATAGTCCCTATCTCCCTTCCACAAAAACTACAATAATTTCAGACAGTGAGTTAAGGTTGTGCTTGTCAAATAAGATGCCAGGTGACTTGTCTCTATCCTATAAAGACGTACTTATATCTAACTTACATTTTGTGTTTTATTTTGTTTGTACTTAAGGACAAAAGAATCTTTGAATTGCCAATACAGGGCTTGCTGAAGATTGCTGCCATTTCCAGTCCTGCTTCTAGGATCAAGGCATGCTTAGTACTCTCTACATTGGTGGTTTTGCACAATTGAGCCCTATCTTTCTACATATCAACCAGTTAGCCGCTGATCTACACAGAACACATAACCTCCCTGGAGCTCCAGCTGGGATGTGGGAGCACTTTACAGAAAAAGTAAAAGTTATGATGGTGGTGCTTGCATGTCGTGGCCATGGAAAAAAACAAGTCAATACCTCAGAGTCGATTGCTCTGTAGTAGTGTAGGCTTTCAGACTGAATGCAAAGAAACATTGAGAGGTTGTCACTATGAACAGAGTGATCATCTGAATTACTAGAAGTGCAGCTATCTTTTTTTGTTGTTTTTACTCTTTGCACAAAAGGAAGAATACTGCTATGTCATAATAATCATTTATGATAAACCACAGAAAACAAATCATCTCAGAAAGGGATATGCCTAGCACCCTTTACTGCTTTCTGCCAATTGCATGGGAATTGAGGAAAAGCCTGTTTGCTGTGGGTATTGTAAAGGTAAAGCATGTACCAGTACCACTTTTTTTTTTTCTTCCTCCTCATCCAACCACTGTCCTTATTTTTGAGCTAAAACTTGGGCACTTTGCTTAGAAAAATGATTTAGGGGCAGCCTTTAAATGCCGAATAGCCCAAAATGAAAAAGTCAGACTGGCATTATTTTAAGTGGGACTTACATCGCTGTGTTGTTTTGAGCTGTCCTGATTACTGAGTAGTAGGCAGGGTATTTTCACAGACGCTTTGGCTTTAATTACCCTAGTTTTTTGAGGGGGTGAGGAAGGAGGGCCGTAGTGGCAACCAGGCTTTGCAGGGTCCCTCCCCAGCCTTGACCAGCTTCCCGAGACGGGCAGCGGCCTCAGGTGCGCTGGGTCTGCGCGGCTGCCATCTTGAACTGAAGGGAAGGAGGTGAACACCAGACGAGAAGAAGTGTCTGCGCTCAGGCCCCAGCCTGCTCGCACTCGTCCGCTCCTCAACAAAGTGCAGTGGTTTTTAAAAACGAGCTCGAGGAGGAGGAAGGGGGGGGGGGGGAGCGGCAGGCTGTGGTGTGTTTGCGGCTCCTCTCTGATCTCCTGCCAGCGAAACCTGGAAGGTCAGGCGGGCTGCCGCCAAGCCGCGGAGCCGGAGCCCGGGGAGCGCTGGAGCGGGCTCCGCCGAGCGCGCCGCCGCGGCACCCACCTTCCCCGCCGTCCGCGGCCCGGGCGTTCCCGCGCAGGGGGCTCGGCAGCTGGAGGGTCGCCTCGTAACCGGCCGCCGCTGCCGAGGTCCCGTTGTGCGAGCAAGTCTCTTTGCCACCTGGGGTCTTGCACAGGGCCAGGCTCCCTGGCGACTTCGGCGAGAGACTGGGGTATGTTTTCCAAGAGCGTACACATCCTCTCTTTGGGATCAGGATTTAAACCCTAGCAAGGGAAAAAAAAAAAAAAAAAAAAAAAAAAAAATCGTGTTTCCCAGTTCTCCCAATGGCAGGCGAGCACCCCTTCGTCCCCTGGGCAGGGCGTCACTTCCGGGGATGGGGCGGGGGGGGCGCTATTTTCGGGCAGGGCCTGCGCGCCCCCCCCCCGTCACCTCCCCCTCACGGGAGGTCGGTGCTGGGCCGCGCGTCGGAGCCGAGCGGCCGGCGCGGCCTACGCGCCCCGCGCTGAGGCGGCCGGTGCACGGAAGGACAAGTGGCTAGTGAGAACTAGGGGTGAAGGGCGGCCCGAGCCTCCCGTCGGCTGTGGCCTGGCACAGACTGCTGGCTGCAGTTGGCCGCAGTTAAACTAGCTCAGCAAATTTGCAGAAGGGGGGAGGTGGCAGACAGTTCACCCCACTTGCTGTTATCTTCTCCAGCACGAGTTTTGAACTCGGTTGGTACTTTTCATCTCTTAACATCTGATTTTGCAATACAAAGTAAGGAATGCCGATTACATCTTGGTGGTGGAAACTTAATGAATTGCTGTGCTGTATACTGCTCATTCAGCGTGTTCACAAAATGAAGGGGTTTTTTATGAATCAACCTGCAAAATCTCTTTAAAAATACCTTCGGAGATCAAAGTGCCTTGCTTGTTGACTGACCATCCTGAAAGAACAATCTAAATGGCCTGAACAGTTCTACAAGCACTGTGTGTCTGTAAAAAGTGCCTTCTGGGGAAACCTGGATGAGCTTTCACCTCAGGGCCACTGCAATGGAGAATGTGTAGTAGATTCCTTTTAACTTTCCCTCCCCAACAGCTATTAGTGATTAGCCAGGTGTGCTGACTTCAAAGGGGACAAATACCAGCCAGGCTGAGAAAGAGACCCCATTTGGGAGTTGGTTTCCCTCATGCACTGTCTAATGGGCTTGGTTGATTAAAAACAAGATATAAGAATAGAGCAAAGAAAGTGACCTGTAGGTGTTAAAACTAACATCTCTATACTGGCTAACATTCTCGGAAAACACTGAGTGATATTTCAGAATTAATCACTTTTATGTGTTTCTTTTGTATCTCAAATTCAGGGTCTACTAGTCTCTATGAAGAGCCAATGTCCTCTTGTTTAGTACTGTGATGGTGATAGTTGTCATTATTTGGAGAAATAGTTACTTACATTCTGCACCCAAGAAAGGCAGTAACAGCTTTGAAAAGTTACTGGGGATGTTTACTCTGTGGAGCCATTGAGCAACATTTGAACAGAACGTACAGGGGCACAGCAGCAGAAATGGGTAAAAATACCCTGTATTAGCCATCGTGGTTAATACTATCCTCTCTGTCCCAGAGAACTTTAATATGTTCTAATATCTCCTCTGTGCTGTTGGTAACTACGGGTTTGGACCATGTATTTGATGAAAAGCCATACATTTAAATAGTTCTGTCTGATCTTAGCCAAGTAAGATGTGTTGTATGTAACAGTTCTGACCTCTAATGGTCAGAAAGAGCAGTATTCTCTGAGGCACTTTTTGCAAGGACTGTGTTATGCTAGGGGTTGTCATGACTCTGAGAATGACACTGAAAAGGTATAAGGGACCTGGTCCACCTTTATTTTCTACAACAGTTAGCTTGTCTCTCCACCTCAAATCACAGGGAAGATTGTTTATAATGGCACTTCCAAGTAACATGGACGAAAAGTACCTAATTAAATTTTAAAAAAATCTTGTATTTAAAGTCTTTAGAAGGTCTAAGTCACATTTGAGTTCCTTTAAAAGTATGCAGAGCAAGGAGTTTGAGAAGGAAAAGGTAGGGAGACTAGAAGCAATAGTGAAGTTTAACTACATTGCATGCTGGTTCAGGAGCTCCTGTGTTTGTAATTGCTCTGTCATTTGTTTTAACTACACAGGAACACAGAATGTTGTTTGCTATATGGAGATGAGGAGAGGGAGTAATTTTTGAGGTAAAAAGTCATCTTTTGGGGTGGGACTGAGGATGCTGTCTTTCTTATTGCAGGCAAAACGAGCAGTACAGCGAGGAGCCACAGCGGTCATCTTTGATGTTTCTGAAAACCCAGATGCCATTGATCAGGTATGAATAAGGGAGCCTAGTTTTATTACAGCCTCTGTTGGGTTCTTTTAGGGTTGCTGAGGCAAGACTTGAGAGCATACAGGTCTCGAATCACACCTGCCTTAAGACATGCAGCTACTGACCCTGGGTAACATGGTGCTGTGGTTTTCCTGCTCATCTGACAGGCAAGAAGCAATGGAGATGTTGAGAATGTGTAGGGAGTTATATTTCTCTTCTAGCCTTCGCTGGAATCCAGAATCCAAAATCCAGCACTGGGATTGAGAAACAATGGAGGCAAACTTTGTGTCCCATTATCTAGTCAAGGAGGTTTTATTTGCCTAGCTCTGTGTACAAAACACAGGGGGTTTGGCCCTACGCAGCTTGTGATCAATAGTATTGTTGAGTAGCTGCTATTTTTGAGGTTACAAAATGGCTTTCAAACTTGGTTCTTAACAAGATTCTTACAGGCTTTACAAACATTTCTTTCTCGTTCACAGCTGATGATTTCTGGCCTACGTATTTTGTGAACAAGCAGGGTTTTTATTTTTTTGGGGTCTCAGTACAACTTCCATCTTCTCATTTGAAGTAGGAGAGGTAATAGCTCTGTGAGAGACAAGATCCTTCCAGCCAATTCTGAGTTATTTGTGTAGACAGAAATAAAAAAAAAAGAGTCTGCGTTTCATTTAGTTTTGTTTTGTCTTGAAACAAAACTGCTGTTTTTGCTACAGCACAAACAAATGAAGCTGAATGTTTTTAAGTGCAGCCTGAATTTCTTGGGAAAAGAGAGACCCATCAATGTTTAAATTTAGAAAGCTGACTTTCCTTCTGAAATGAGCATCTCTTGGACAAAGGAATGCAGGCCCTGTGCAATGGATGCTTTGAGAACTGTGCATGTGCATCAGAGCTACAGCCTTGATCTTGCAAACATTCTCAGGGATATTTTTTCCCGTTTTATACACAGCAAAATTATCTGAAGAAAGATGTAACCTGTCTTTTTCCAATTATTTTCTCTATATGACAGCTTCCAGTTACTTTCAGCCACCCTGCTCTCAACTTGCAAAGCTGAATTACTGCCTCTTGCTCTCTTCCCTCTACCAGCAACAGCTGTCCTTCCTTGATTCTTGATAATAAACTGGGTGCAATTGTCCTCAATAGCTGGGAAACTAGTCTAGTGGATGGCTGTTTTGGGTGTACCAATAAAATGGAAGGAGGTTAGTGGCTTAGTGCAGTAGCTGACAAAGGAGGCTCTGTTGAAGGACAGAGAGCCACCTATGCAAACACTCGCACACAGGAGAGGACTGACTAGACCTAGCTTTCTTACTCTAAACGTAAGAGATACTTGATTGGCTCCTTTCTCATGCTGCTCTGGACACTTGTGTTTCGTGTATTTTGATTCTCAGCCAACGTCTGCAGAACCCTTGACATCATGGGTGTTGTGGTTTAGGCCCAGTCGGCAGCTAAACATCATGTGGCCTCTTGCTCACTTCTCTTCCCACCCCACCCCCACCTTCAGTGGAATGGGGAGGAGAAAATACAACAAAAGGCTCCTGGGTCGAGACAAAGACAGGGAGGGATCACTCACCAATTATGGTCAGAGGCAAAACAGACTTAACTTCGGGAAAAAACATCAATTTAATTTGTTACCAATCAGATCAGAGTAGGATAATGAGAAATACAACCACATCTGAAAAACACCTTCCTCTCTACCCCTCCCTTCTTCCTGGGTTCAGCTTTGCTCCTGATTTCCCTGCTTCTTCCCCACCAGCAGCCCAGGGGGACAGGGAATGGGGGTTGCAGTCAGTTCATCACCTGTCGTCTCTGCCGCTCCTTCCTCCTCAAGGGGAGGACTCCTCACACTCCTCCCCTGCTCCAGCATAGGGTGCCTCCCACAGGAGACAGTCCTCCAGAAATTTCTCCAACATGAGTCCTTCCCGCAGGGCTGCAGCTCTTCATGAACTGCTCCTGCCTGGGCCCTTTCTGCAGGGTGTAGTCCTTTCAGAAAAAGACTGCTCTGGCACGGGTTTCTCTCGAAGTCCCAGCCTTCTTCAGGTGCAGCTACCTGCTCTAGCACGGGGTTCTCCATGGGCTGCAGGCAGGCGTCTGCTCCACCATGGACCTCCATGGGCTGCAGGGTAGAGTCTACCTCACCATGGTCTTGACTGTTGGCTGCAGGGGAATCTGCTCTGGTACCTGGAGCACCTCTTTCCGCCCCCTTCTTCACTGACCTTGGTGTCTACATAGCTGTTTCTATCACACCCCACTCCTCTCTGCTGCTGGTTTTCCCCTCTTAAATATGTTATCACAGAGGTGATACCACTGTCACCGATTGGCTTGGCCTTGGCCAGAGGTGGGTCTGACTTGGAGCCGCAGAAGCTTCTAGCAATTTCTCTCACACGAGACACCTTGGTAGCCCCTCCCCGGCTTCCCGAACCCTACCACACAAGCCCAAAACAAGGGGATAGTAATTAATTTGTCTTTAAAAATAAATACTGTTTTGGCATTCACAATGGAATTGTGGAAAACGACAGGTGGATAACAATGGAGGAAAAAATTATGTATTCTGGAGTATCTTTTATTCAAATTGAAGTATCCTGAGACACTGAGGGGAGTTGTTCAGGAAGCTTTCCCAGGTATGCTTGTTACCAAGCAATAAAACAACCAAGGGAGAATGCTTTGAAAGGAAGGAGTGGAATATTATGATAGGCAATCCTTCCTGCCAGTCAATCAACAGAAATAGGAACCAGGCCTGACCAGGAAAAGAATTGCTACCAAATGAAAGGGCTTTACATACAGATTTTGTGGATTTTATTCCCATTGACCTGAGTTTCTTCTGCTGTAGACTAAGAATGAAACTTCTGTTTTCAGAAATGCTCTGTGAAGTCTGATTTGTTTCTTAGTTTTACTTTTGCATAGTTTGAAGAGGAGTAATGACACCCAGAGCATCATGTTTAGCGAGAGTCTGGCAGTGTGCAAAAGATACTGAGGAATCAGGTGAATTGTTTCTTAGACGAGACAGTTTGAGAGGGAATATGTGTCTGGAAGCATACAGAGAGTGATTGGATTTGACCTTAGGCCAGCAAGCCTTGTAGACACATAGGATCCCTGGGTTGGATTCAAGCACTTCAGCTAGTTTTTAGCTCTTCAAAAGACATCTGCCTTAAAAATAGTTTGATCAGTGTTCTCAGAATCCCAGTCAAATACTAGGAAGAAATCTGTCTTAAAGTCTTAATAAAATCTGTCATTATCATCTGGACAGATTTAAGTAGAGTACTTTGTGAGCAGGATGATAGACCAGTCAGCTGGTAATTTCTACATCTTTTAGCCAGAAATAACAGGTAAGATGTCAACAATGTAGATATGGTATCTCTGACATACGCTCTTCTTGTTCAGTTTGCTCACACTCCTGTCATCTAATTCCTTTCCCCTGTACCATTTCCATCTGCTTGTCAGTGCCTTCTTGTTTTGCATCAACTAGCCTCTATACTGGGATTTTTCTAGTGGGTCAGAATAAGCTATATGAATTTATCATGTTGGTGCCATTTTGTAACAGAACAATTCTCTTATCTTGTTATTCCCCTCTCTGGTATATAGTTTAGCAGAGGTTTTTTTCTGGATTTTTTG